CTACCCCTGCTCTATGATTATCATTTAAATGAAATGTTCTGAGCAACGGTGGTATGTTTCATGTATGACATCGCCAGGTCCTATCACCCCTTTCCCAATGACATCACCAGAGGATGACCCTCAGAAAAATCAGTGGGGTGGTGATGCTCCTAACAATGCTAAAGAGATATGCCACCCATATCCCCCCACAGCACTTGTTTCATGAGCATAACACAAAATGCAAGTGGGTACTTGAAATGACCAGCAGCATGGGGCCTGTAGCCACTGAGAGCTATGTGCCATTTGCTCCAATTTCATCATCGATGATGCAGCCTTGCCTTTATTTAGCTCCTGGGTTTGCTGAGCCAGTCTCTCCATGCAACATGCTGAGGACAGACCATTATGCTCACAGCTGGAAATAACAATGAAGGGTATTTCCTCTAACCCAATGTCTACGAGGGCTTTTATGCTAACAAACCACAGTGGCGGCAGCTTGTCTGTAAAAATCTCTGGCATGGCTTCTACAAAAAAAAAAAAAAAAAAATCAAATATGAACAGCAGTTTTTTAAAAAGCAAAGCAATCTTTTGGAGGAATAGTAAGGGAAGTTGAAAACTGAAAACATGTTCAGTGGACACAGAATATTATAGACTGATGGGGAAGGTGATATGGGATATGCTGAAGCAAGGTAAAGCTTGGGAGAGGGAATCACTTTTTATGCTACAATTCCTAGATTCTGCCAGATACCTATGATGCCTGCAGGATTCTGGGAAATGCAATCCAAAAATTAACTTTTCCAAGCTCTGAAGAAGGTTGTGGCTGGCTGGAACCCTGATCAGAACTACTCCAATTTTAGGACTTGTCCATTATTGTTGTGTGCTTTCAAGTCATTTCTGACTTATGGTGACCCTAAGGTGAATGTATCATAGGGTTTTCTTGTCGAGATTTCAGTGGAGGTTTCCAATGCCTTCCCCTGAGGCTGAGAGCATGTGACTTGCCCAAGGTCACTCAGTGGTTTCATGACCAAGCTGGGAATCGAACCCTGGTCTGCAGACTGTTAGTCCAACATTTAAACTACTATGCCACACTGCCTATATTATTTATAAACCCCAGATCCTCCTAGGACTCGGTGTGTTCTGCTTACATTACACTGGACCAAAACCTTGAATTTGATTCAGGCTGTTTTCACAACACACAGACCCTATTTGGGGTATCCTGCATTAAAAAGACTTACCTTTTGCTTCAACTTTTCCAAGTAACCCAGAGCAAAATGTGGCAATGATGGTTGGCTCCCTTCCCACATGGTCCCTGCGGTCATTCCTGCCAAGTTGTTCTGTGGGTGCGAGTTGCTCTGAAGTCAAAACAAGGCTGGACACCTCATTCTGAGTCTGGTTGATTCCTGATGCTGTGTGTTGGAAGACTTAGGGGACACACCAGTCAGAAAGCTAGACCAGAACTTTATCTCCTCTCTCCAACAAGAACTAAACACCAAGAGTCCTGACACCATGCAGCTTCAATGAAGGTGCCCACTGGCATCTTAAAACTCAGTTATATTATGACACTGTCTCATTCTGTGGATATTTGAGACTGAGGGTGCATCTACATTGTAGAAATGAAACAGTTTGGCATCACTTTTAAGTGCTGCAGCACCATCCTATGGATTCCTGGGATTTGTAGCTTCACAAGGTCTCTAGGGTTCTATGCCAAAGAGTGCTGGTGCTTCAAATCCCAGTTTTCTGTATGGTGGAGCCGTGGCAACTAAAGTGGTGCCAAACTGCATCATTTCTACAGTGTAGATGCACTCCTAGCTTCTGTCTCCTCCTCCCAATTTTCCCCTTTGCTGCAAACTAAGTGCAAAAGTAGTTTGTTCTCAAGTCAGCAAAGGGGAAAGGAAGGAAGGTGGTAGAATCTTGCCCTTCCCAAGGAGCTCAAGGAAAAGCAAAACTGTTGTAACTGCTCCTACCAGGTTGTGTGTTCCTACTCATTTCTGTTTTCTCCATCTTGATCACACTCTGCTATTGCTTAGCCACACACGTCCCTTTTTTTACCCGTGAAATGATGGAGGGTATGTGAGCCTCTTCAATGACTTTTTGTGGCTTCTGTAGTTGCTTGAAGCTTTTCTTCCCTGAACCTAGTTAGAATCTATTCTATTTTGTTCCTGGGGATTGAAGAACACTTTGTCTCAAGGAAGTTTTAAAACCGAGGGGACAGATTTCATAGCACAGATTTCTTTCTGTGGATATGAGGTGGTAGTGTGGGTGTTGCTGAACTCTTGGGAATAAGGGTATTTTTGACTGTGGTTTGTGAGCAGGCAGAGTCTGGGAAAGGAGTCGTGCTGAGCTTTTGAATGTGTGTATTAAGGATGCTTGTGCTACAGCATACCATGTAACTATCTGGTACAGGGGT